CTTGCTCTGGTCATTTCCTTTTTTTGTTAGTACAAATTACATGCTATGGCCGGGTGTGGTGGTGTATTCCTGTAATCCCAGCACTCGGGAGGCTGAGGCAGGAGGATCGCTGTGAGTTCGAGACCAGCGTGGGCTACATAGTGAGTTCCAGGTCAGTCTCAACTACATAGTGAGACCCTGTCTCAAAAAACAGACAAAAAACCAACAAAAAAACAACAACCAATTACATGCTACAAAGAAAGGTTCTGAGTGTGATGTGACAGCTCCCCTCCTCCTGGTAGAGGCCTTTAGAGCGGGATTGCTAGAACAATAGGAAAGAATACTGTAGGCACCTAATGTACACTGAGCTTACCATGAAGAAGAGGTACAAATTTACAAACCCATTAGGGGAATAGGAATACTCATTTTTCAATAACCTCCCTGTTTTTTATGAGTCAGAATATTTTTGTTTAGTTCTTGATTTTACTTTTTTTTTTGGTTAGGTGGTATATTTGTCTACATTTATTAACCATTTGTGTTTCATCTTACAAATACTATTTCTTTGGGTACACTTTGCAGTTTTCAATTGGAGTAAAAAATCCGTATCTTGAGATCCTTATGGTTAAGTGAAATAAATCAGACACACAAGCTGAAATATTGCATGGTTTCTTTTTATTTCTTCTCCTTTTTTGGTACCGGGGATCGAGCTCAGGTCCTTGTGCTTGCAAGGCAGGCGCTGGAACCACTGAGCTAAATCCCTGGCCCTTGAGTGGTTTCTTTTATATGAGAAACCTGATGTATAAATAAAGAGCAAAACAAAGTAGGAAATGGAGAGAGAGATCTTTCACAAATGGGAAGGGGATCGAGAGATGGAGGGAGGAGAAGGAGATGAGAAAGGAACTAAGATGTGTAATGTCCAGGTACCAGCCCCTTAGGGCAATTGTGATCATTATGTACCGCAAGTATGTACTGATAAGAATTTTAAAAACGTCTGCTCACTTTTGATCCCTGGCTGGAACATCTTCTCTCCTTGTGGCGTTCTCTGGACAGGCCCGCTTATAGCCTCTGGTGTCCCGTTAGCAGGACCCAGGCTGTTTCCAACCAGCAGATCTACACGGCACTAGGACTTGAGCTCTGGCTCCACCTAGGGGACAACTGAGCAACTTGTTGGCCAGGACGGTCATTCTCTTAACTCAGCACCTAATCAATCAACTATTTGGTGCAAGGTTTTGTGCCATTTATTTAATGAACTAATGAATAAACTAATGGACATCATTGCAAGGTGGATTTTAACTTCATGTGGACTTCATCAGGACGGCAAATGGACATTTTCTATGAAACAGAGAGGCAACTCAAGCCATGGATAAATCTAAGTTAACAGCAATGCTAGAAAAACAGTATGCAGAAATTTATATAATTACACTGTTAGAGATTGAGATATTGCTGATGACTGCTCTAAAGAGAAAAGCCTTTTCTTTATTTGAAGAAAGTAACTTCCTCAGAAAAAAATTATAAAATTTTGTTTATTGATTCATTTGGAGCCTTATCAAATTACCTGGACAGTCACCATAGCACATCTTTAAAAAGAGCAGCACACAAAAGGATGCACTTCCTCTAACAACAACAACAAAAAAAACCATGCACACCCACACAGGAAACATACAATGAAAGCAAAGCTTGCAAAACAATGGCGTTTTTCATTATGTAATGCTCTCAAATTATACCTCTTCTTAATTAGGCTTTTCACAGTTTTGCTATACAAAAAATTAGATATTACCTGGTTAATACCATCTCTGAGATATTGGGAAAATCAAGGCGAAAAGAATGAGGCTTCAGGGAAGCCGGGAAGAGGTCTTCGCTTCTGCGTGAGATAATTTCCAGTGCAGTGTGTGTGTCTCCATGTGAGTCAGGGTGTGTTGGTTACAAAGGGACTCCAGAGATGCTAAAGTGCCCCAGCCTCCCCGCTGTGTTCATTTACCAACTCTGAAAGCTCTTGACAAGAGCTGGGTTAGAGTTTCCCCCACCTTTCCCTCTGGAGTCGTAGTGTTGCTACCTTTGTAAACCGTTTTAAGTGCAATTAAAGTGCTCACTTGTGCTTCCTTTGAACCATATCCTGCTCCAGTTTTGACAGTGTAGTTCACAGAAGCCTCGATAACATCTCACTGTCTCTGTAGAGAGCAGAGTACCTCTTGCTATAATGGGCGGTGTTAAGGTCATTGCCACCACTCTCCAACTCACCCACTAAGTACTGGGTGGGCTTCTCACTGGCACCTGTCTGCTTCACAGGCTCAACTCAGTAGGCAGCTCTTGGCATAGCCAAACATCACTGCTCTTCCCTGAGCAGAAATTCTACCCCCAAATCCACCAACACCATACACTTATCAAATGGAAAGCTCCAAACACCAAAAGAACATTTTGCAGCCCACTCCCCCAAGTTGACTGGTACTCCTGACTCCATGCTGCATTTCAAAGATGCTAGCTTTTCTTCTCTGAGTTGGGGACACAGCCGTGTCTAACTTCATGTCTACTTACAGCTTTGTATCTCCACCGAGGCAGTCTGTCCCGACGGTGGTAAAGCCTTCCATGTGCCTGACCTGGTCACATCTCCCATCTCACTTCTCTGAAGAGCAGCTGTAATTCAGGCCATACTCAGTCCAATTGATACAGAAAATAACATGGGGGGGCAATTATGACATGAAATAAACAAGTCAAGTTTCACTGGAAATTAACAGGGTCAGACACTGCTAGGCTTTTCAGACAAAACTCATCACATATTGTAAACAGTGGTGTTTCTACTATATTTAAATAAGACCCATAGGTCTCAAGGCTTCTCTCGAAACTTAGGGAAACCAGGTGCAAACATCGGGACAGTTCATGTCATTGCTATGACTTTTAAAAATTGTTTACAACATACAAAATTTTAATTGCTGTTAACATGAAACGAAAAGATGCACCAAAATGGTTCATGAACAAGAGTACCAACACATTCATGAGACACATCGAGTAGTTCTGAAGATACACCTATGTGTTTTTGTTATGGCAGATAATGTTTAAAGATTCAGAAAGTAAGGTTTTGTATTTTTTTCTTTTTAGGCTGTGGTTCTTTATTTGAAAGTGTGATACATCCTTCAGTTTACCAGACAGCGTGGACCTCTGTCGCAGTCACAGACTGGATTCCGTGTTAGTTTGGCAGAAGTGGCTGTTCCAGTTTCTATACAGAAGAGGTCTTATGAAAATCTTGTGAAAAAACATCCGAAATACTGAAGTTCTGAAAATGATAAAGATCCAAGGGTCCACGATTGAAATCACAGAGAGAAAACGCAAGGCTAGGAGGTCGTCTGGCTCTTCTTGGACAGCCTTAAATGCTCCATAGTAAGCACGGTACTGTTTTGAGGAAAAACATTCCATTATGACATGGAGCAGCCGATGGCAAAAATAAATTCACTTCACTTACCTTTCTGTAAGAACATGGTGGCTTAGTCAGGAAAACTCCCTTTTGGTAAATTTATAGATAGCTGAGGGCCCTGCATCTGAGGGTGGGAGCGAGGGGCCGGGAAGTGGAGAAATGAAGGAATGTTGGACCACTTGGATTCCCTCTGCCAGACCACGAAGACCCACCAAAGCTCCTAGAAAGAGAGCCTCTCTCCAGCCTGTCCTCACTCCCATAATCCATCCAGCTCTCTTTTCTCCTGTCTGCATTTTATTAGCCCTTCTTATCAACTTGTTTGGAAATAGGTCCCCTTTTGCAGTGTCTCACACACCGAGATATCACTGAAACAAGCTTTGATTAAACATGAAGGGCCAAGAAATGTGAGTGACGTCATGAGGTGACTGGAAGAGGGAACTGTGCCCCTTGTGTAAATGGCTCTAGTCGTGGCATAGGAGGTAAGCTTTCCATAGCTGACATCTTTTTCAGACTGGGGGTAAAAACATACAGGAAAATAAAAGCCGCCTTACCCATGTCCAGCCTATTGTCTCGAGCTTCCTGGGGTCCCTGCAGCCTCCTTGGAAGCCTCCGGAATGCTCAGACACGGTCTCCCTTGCCATTCGGTCTGTATTGCTGTGTGGACCAGCACCACCCCTGCCTGCCCGTCTGCCTGGCATGGCCGCTTTTTCTTTTTGCCATTCCTTCTACTCCCTGTGAGATTTTAAACCCATAATGGGGCAAATGGGTCCTAATGGAACCAAAACGATGCAAACCCAACCTTACAGTAGGAGGAGGGGACACGGATAAGTACAAAGAGCAGACCTGTCCAGGCAATCAAGGGCCATCTCCCAGATAAGGTGGATTTTCCCACAGTCATTTCCCCACCTTCCCTCCTTTCTCTGTAGAGCCTTTCAGCCGGCTCAGCCACTCCAGCTGAGTGCCCTTAGGAAGATGTCTCTTGTTGACCCCGCTGTTCCTCAGATCTGGGTGCCCTTTCCTGTCACTGTTGCTTAAAAGTATTAATAGCAATCATAATGGCCAATGCCCACAGCCAGGCTCTATTTCCAGGCACTTCTCTGAGTACTTTAAAATGTTCATTTGTATCGTTACAAAAGCACATGGAGTACAGTTGCTATCCCCAATTTTGGAGGTGTGGAAATGGATTCCATGCCCAATCAGTAGCCCCCTTCCAGCTGTACCTGGAAGATGACTATCTGGGCTGGGGTCCCCTGCTTAGAGTGTGACTTCACAGAAACGGTTCCCTCATCTTTGCAGTGAGAATCATGGTTCCCCACCTTCCAAGATTCCTGTGAAATTTAAAGGAGGTGGTAGCTGGAGAACAGGTTCTAGCATATAGTAGGGATGCAGTGATTAGCTGGTGTTTTATCAATCAAGAGTGGCCTCAGAACCCAGGGCTCTGGTCTCTCCTCCCTACCTACCATGTGCAGGTGATACGGTGATTTTCTCATTTTATATCCCCACACAAACTATGCAATGCCTTGGGTATGGTAGGTACTGGATATGCACTGAATGATACACAGAGGACAGGATGCTGTATGCTTAGGTTGACTTAGAGAAACAAATATTTTACATGAGTTTGTTTTATATTTGCCACTTTCTCCTCAAAGTGTAGTACAGTAAAATATACTTCCAGCTACGTGAGACCACCTGAATAGCTGGGGATTTAGGTAACTGATCCTTGAATAATTAAATCATTTCATTCCTAGGCAGTATCTATCATGTCAATCCTGTTAGATTATCTGCCTTCTTTCTTTGTGGTGCTGGGATCAAATCCAGGATCTCATGTATGCTAAGCATGAGTTACATGCTAGCCCGCTTATCTGTATTTTGAAGTCACTGTATTAGAAATGTATAGCTCTTTAGCTGGCATTTTTAAAGTGGCTCAATTTACATAATCGATGTGCAAACAGCGCCCTCTGTTGGGGTTAGGCATCACTGAGAAAATATTGCTGCTGCCAGCTGAGTAGAAATCTGGCCAGGGGAGTCGGCAGAGCTTCCCTCCCTCGTCCAGTTCATGACCACAGCACCCCAGTCTGCACCTTCTGCTCCATCCCTAGCCCCTTTCTTCTGAGCCTGTCTTTTGCCTGCCATCCTTACAAGGCTCTAACAATTCCTTTGCAAGGAGCATCTGTTCATTCGTTCTGCCTTGGGGAACAGCCCTCAGGCATGAGCTGTGGCACCACAGGCTGTCCTCTGCCACGGATTCCCTGGGTTTTATTACCTGTACCTGGCTTTGGAACTGCTCGGTGATTACAGCTCATCTCTACCTGTGCCCCTTTCATCCGTATCAACCGCTAGTTCACTGTGGGTGTCTGACCTAAACGGAATTTGGATGAAAGTGTTAGACACACCGTAGAACACTCTGCAAACTGCCTCTCAAGTCCATCCCTTGTCTGCTAAATCTGTATCGTATTGCAAGTTTGAAAATGCAACCTATTTAGGTGTCTTATTTTAGTAAAGTATTATTGTGAAGTTAATTTTTAAAAAATCAGACTCAAGAAGGGACTAGAAGTGTAGCTCAAAGTATAGCGGTCTCCAATACCTATGCAGAATGCATAAGGTCAAAACTTTTTATAAATAAGACCCTATTCCGTCCGGTGCCACTGCACATGCCTGCAATCCTAGCTGCTGAGAGGCTGATATGGGACAGTGGAGAGTTCAAGGCCAGACGGTGTGAATTAGTGAGATTTTGGTCTCAAAAACAAAATAAAAAAAGTCTGAGAATGTAGCTCAGTGGTACAGTGTTTGCCTAGCATGTGTGAGGCCCTGGGTTCTATCCCCAGTACTGAAAAAAAAATTTGCTATTTCACTTTTTTTCACTCTCATTCTTTCACCAGTAAATAGTCCATGGAGTACATATACTCTGTAGTGAATCACCTCTTCTGTAGCTAATGGAATATGTGCGTGTACACAGTATTCTTGGGTTTTAGACTTTTCTAAAGCAGTAGATTGAGGGGACACAGGGACACACACATACACACACA